TACTCCATTTGCTCCGGATATGATTGCCAGTAACTTCCTTCATGCCTACATTGTCGTACAACCCATCGACGCACTCACCGACAAAGTTCGCTATCGAGTGAGTAACATCTTTCTTAGCTGGCTCGAAATTTTTTTGTTGCAAAATAAATTAATTTAATAAATAAATAGGCAAATAAAACTACTGCCGAATCACAAAACAGATCAAAATAAATAGCAAAATTATCGATATTTTACTGTCGATTAAATAAAAAAGGCCTTTTCGAAAAAAAACCTTAAAACCCAGACAAAAGTGTGTGAAAGTGGTTTGGGTTTGCGATGCTTATTTCCAAGACTGATTTTCTTCTCAAACTTACTGCGTAACGATGNTACTAAATGATCTAAAATTGAAAATAATCGAATAATATTTTGATACATCATCAGCAAACATGGACCCCAACAAAACAGGTTCGATAGGTAATGGGTAGGGTTTGATTAGAATTGAAAGTGACTTTCACCTGTACTAACTACCCGTCATCCCGTTGATTACTGATTTCCATAAGTGGGAGCCAGTAATGTCTCCGTTGTTTCCTGTCGCCTAAAAAGCGGCTGTATGGTTTCGAATGTACTAGAAAAGTTCCAAAATGCTTCTGATCAAAAGCGGAGGCTATTAGTATTAGCCTGTGTGATGGACATAACTACCTGCTCCTAGATACTTGAACAACACAATTTCAAGCCTATCATTATTTGTCCAAATCCGAGATTCTCAACACTTAAAAGCTCTTATTGCAGCTCTGGCTGATAGACCTTCGGCTTCACGAATGGCTCGTTTACTTTGCGAAGAAATCACTAGCGAACTCTTCACGCCAGTAGCATTTCCGGGTGGATCGGAATTGATCGTACAGTGAGTTTCGCCCGTTTTATTCCTTTAGTGCACTGCATGGCGATCCTATTAAGCAGGCTGGAGGGAGCTACCCTAAACGGATATGGCCGAATTAACTCCCAAATTGGGAAGAAACGTTAGTGCGACGTAGTAGTATCGGAATAGCCTACTAGTTTACTGGGTGCTATAGCTAACGACGAGCAGATAGTTTTTTTTCAGGAGTGCTCCGGGGAGGGACAGAGATTTCTCAAAAAAAGAATAGTTTAACCTGCTGGTGGGAGCTGCGCCGTGTTTTCACTTTCACTAGTCTCTAGATTTCTGCAGACCCTATACTATCTTAGAAATCGTTACTGTTCTACCTTACCAATCGCTACAGGATCAGTAAGCTACATTCAAGAGAAATATGCCTACGCATTTATTAAATCCATTGAAACAGGCTTGATCCGTTAATCTCCATTCACAGGGACTCTTGTTTAGGAAAACAGGGTTTCTAGCTTTCGAGCACTCTGTTGCTTGGATCGTTTGAAGTTGGGCATTGTAGTAGCGATTGCTGTAAAAGTAGGTCCAGAAATCAACTGGGACCGCACACAAAGCGCGACTTCTAAGAACTTTTCCTTTAAGGTTAGATCGCACTGGCCGATTCCTTCAGAGACCAGGATGCGTTTTGAAGCCTTAGGAGACTGTCAGAGACTTTTGACTGTATCTTAAATTCATATGCAATAGAAGACTAGTTTTGGCTTTAGAGCTTTTTTTCATAAACACTCAGAAGCCTATTGTCGTCAAGCTAATAACGGAGAGAATCAGATTGGCTTTCCGTTACGGTGAGCCTTCTTTATTGCCCTGAGCAGGGATACATGCATGCGTGGTCCCTAACATCCGCTCCCTAGCGTGAAAAATACCACCGAAGGCTGAAGTGGAGCAGTGAAAAGATGCTGCGTAGATGAGACAGACGTCATTTCTGGGATCTTTCCAGTGTCTCTCAATCGAATCTAAAATCTTCCCTTTCCTCAACCCCCTCTAATTTTCCATTGTCATTCAACCTCCGAGATGTGCGAGATGGTCCAAGATATTTTTGGTAGAATAACGAATAACGGAATATTGTCGAGAAGCTGATTCACTGGTGCATGAGTCAAGTACCTTCCAAAGGATCAGCTCTGATTCTGTGAGCAAATCGAATGCATGGCGCGTCCTGGAAGAAGACATCTTACTTTGACGCTAATTTCTTTTGCTATTACACTTTATTTCACCTTCCCCATTTCAGGTATGACGAGCATGTCCTAACAAACACCTACAAATTTGGAGTTATCTACCAGAGAGGTGGCCAGATTAGCGAAGAGGAACTGTTCGGGAATGCTCGCAGCTCACCAGCTTTCCAGGAATTCCTTGGCGTTCTCGGTGATACGGTCGAACTGCAAGGCTTTTTGGTGAGTTCCGTCTCTGCCAGCCGGCGACATCGTGATGTTCTTCTTCGCTCGCGTAGGTGTGTGTGGATATAACGTCCGTCATACCGTATTTTAGGGATATCGTGGTGGCCTCGATACCGTTCATGGTCAAACGGGTCTCCAAGCCGTGTACACAGAATTTCGTGGTCGTGAAGCGATGTTCCATGTGTCTACAATGTTACCGTATACCCTTGGGGATCAACAACAACTTCAACGTAAACGACATATCGGCAATGATATTGTTGCTATTATTTTCCAAGAAACTAATACTCCATTTGCTCCGGATATGATTGCCAGTAACTTCCTTCATGCCTACATTGTCGTGCAACCGATCGATGCACTCACCGACAAAGTTCGCTATCGAGTAAGTAACTGGCTCGAATTCTTTTGTTACAAAATAAGTTAAGTTAATGAATAAGTAGGCAAATAAAACTATTGCCGAATCACAAAAAATAGTAAAATTATCGACATTCTATTGTCGATTAAATAAAAAAGGTCTTTTCGAAAAAAAAAACCTCAGAACTCAGACAAAAGTGTGTGAATGTGGTTTGGGTTAGCGATGCTTATTTCCAAGACTGATTTTCTTCTCAAACTTACTGCGTAACGATGAAAAGTTTGGAGTGAAGCTACATTTTTAGTGTTAACTTACCTCAAAAGGAATTTTCATTTGCCCAGAGATTACTCCAAGGTGATCAGTACCTCTAAATCACGGAAGTGGGAGGATTTTTGTTTATTTATTTCTTAATGGACTTCTTGAAGATGCACTAATTGAGGTAAAAGACAATTCTATAAGCCTCAAGGTATTACATTTACCCATTGGATACCTTATAGTTGGCCATTGGCTTACCCGATGAAGCGTAACATGAAGTTGTTTATTTGTTTACATTTCAAAATACACTGCCTCTTATGTTGGAAAAATTGGTAAAAAGATCAGAAACTACTAGTTTATGCTGGTTCCTCTCCGAATGTTCTACATTATAGGTATCTGTTGCTGCTCGTGATGATGTGCCCTTCTTCGGACCAACCCTACCAGCCCCATCAATCTTCAAAAAAGGCCAAGATTTCCGGAATTTCCTACTAACTAAACTCATCAACGCTGAGAATGCCGCTTATAAGAGCGCCAAATTCGCCAAATTGGCGGTGAGTCTGCTTTCTTCCTTACTTTACCTGGCTGTGTTTCCTTCCGGGGCTATCAAACTCCTTCTTTCAGGAACGTACCCGTTCATCTCTTTTGGACAGTCTGTATGCGAACCTAAAGGGACGTGCCGAATTCTATGGATCGCCACTATTGGAAAGTACAGAACATTCTGGTGGACTTTTCAGTTCCGTCAAAAAGGCGCTTATCGGCAGGTTTGTAAAAGTTTGCTATATGTGAAAGGGTTAGGGAAGTGCTGGGGACTGTTGAGTATTGCCATATGCGCCACGCATTTAGCTTCCACTCAGAATCGTAGAAGCATTTGTATACATCTTCCTGTTGCATATATAAAACATCATGTTAAACAACAATATAAAGCCAGCTTTCTCCTGAATGAAAGCTAAATGAGGGGCATATCCTTACTGTCGGGCTCCTGATTACTCAAGTAGTCGTAGAAGCAAGTAATGACAATGATTGAATTTTTCAGATCACGTTCCGTTTCACAAGAAGTCAGTACACCATCTCGCACCGTTTCAATGTCGGTCCCGTTACGAACATTTACCGTACCAAAACGAAGTGCAAATTCGGAACGAGATAAAAGTTCCAGCTCTAGTGGTACCAGTTCACTTCACCGTGACAGTCTGAGCAGGGATGATCGAAGGTAAGCAGGAATATCCGCCCATGCTGGATGAGTCTCCTGAAACTCGTTGACTTTCAGTGACTCTCCAGCCGAAGGCGACGTCTTACCGAATACGATCTCTCCACGAGGAGTACAGAGACGAATTGTTGGACGTCATGTTAGCGCGAAACCATCATTCCAATCGCATTCAAGGTAAAAAGTTCTTCATCGTACTCATGAGCACTTCCTCAAGGTACACCTATGGAAGTAGTAGTAAGTGATAGACAATGGAAATAAACTCGAGTATAATAAAATAAGTAAATCAATAAATAATCGTAATGATAGAATCAGTAGTCAGCAGAACTTGGCTCATTCGCTAATAAGGGAGATCCGTTATATTTCTGCAGGAAAGGTGCTACAGAAATGACGCGTTTAACCCTGCCCGGCCTCTTGGAGTCACTACCGCCCCTGAGCGGCACCGTTTAGTAACATTTACAAATGGCTTGAACAGACTTATAAACTATAAAATACCCGAACTTTTATGATTACCGTAATTAACTGCTGGGCAAAGTGTAGTGGAGTTTTAGGAAGTTGCCTTCTTTCACCCCACCTCCCAATTTTCATCATTAACGGGCAGAGGTTTCACTCTCACAGTTTTTCAAGTTGCTCCTATGAACTATCTTTTGATGCTACCTCCATTGACATTGCTATTATTATACCCATCTTACTGGTATACCTTAACGGGGTCTTCTAATAGATCCGATCAATGTACTATTATCTAAAGCTTTCAAGACACACAGAGACTCTTGAATTTTCGTGATAACGGTCAAGTTGAAAAAATATCTCCTGATTTCTCACATAAAAAGAGTCCGAAAATTTTTTTATACGGTTTTTTATCGAACTTTTGATAACCACATCAACTTTGTATTTCAACAACTGTATTCAACATTTCTATTTTGTCCCTTTATTCTTCTAATCGATAACAGGGACATAATTTCAAGAAGAACAAAAAGTGAAGAAACAACTTCGTATTTCAGGCAAGAGTGGGAAGTGTCATCGGCTGACAACGATTCACCCGAAAACGAGGTCGATTCCGACACGGGAATGGTATGTACTCTCACTTTCAGAAATCACTGCTTCGGTTAGGTTCCTTATTCTTGAGAGTACTCGTTCAGGAATCGATGTCATCTACGGATCAGCCATCAACTCGATTGTCATGCACCTTCTGTGTCGACGACTGCCATTCAGCAGAATCGAAGAAGCTTGAAACCCTCATGATGGTACGCCCAATTTATACTTTGAGAGTATCTGAGGGAATTTTTGGGATCTACAGCCAATACAAAAATTATGAGTGTTTTTTGCATTACCTTCTGGTATGCGCCATGCAAGCAACTGTCACCAAAAATCGCAACATTGTTTGGAAGCGTATTGAGCTCTTACAAAGCTTGGTGCTCACATCAGCACTGGCCTAACCAGAATCTACTGTCAATCGGTTCTTACCAAAAAATTTTGAGCTTGGGCAAACTTCAACCGGTTATCTGCCCCATATTTAAATATGGAATGGTCAAAATTATGAGAGAGTTTTGTTCTTCGGCTAACGCAATTCCCTTTTCCAGGATATCGACCGATTGAGCGGTGAGAAATCAGACCTTCTCCGGCAGAATGTCACCTGTAAAACCGATATCAAAAAGTTGAAAGAGAGGTGAGTAGTCATTTGGGTGAATCGAATTCAATCCCACATACGGATAGTTTCTCCAACTTCCGCGTAATTGGGATAGCTAGCACAATCAGTGTCCCAGATTTGGGCTGCCTAATTGAGTGCAACAAAACTCGTCCGGGAAGAATGTGGGAATAATTTGATCGTAGAGCCCATAGCTCAAAAAAAAAGCAGGAATAATTGTGCCCTCTATACTGATGAACTTCTAATTCTGACGAGGAATCAGACTATGACCGGCAACACTCACTAGAGGAGGGGTGTCAGGCCAGAGAGAAATTGAAGGAGTTTTCAAATGGATATACTGTAAAATAGGAGCATTTGCTGAGCCAAATTACGAAAAAAAGGCTGGATTTGAGGTTGACAAAGTGCCAAAGCCCGGCAAGTCCGAGCTCGGATGACCTCTTGCAATAGCCGCATTGGAAAAAGGATTTCTGACTGGGCAATTTCCGATTTCCGTTGTCTTTCCACCTTTTTTCCGTTCCGGATTGTTAAAATTGTGTATTTACAGACAAAGCTGCCTATCCGACGAATTGGAACGTGCCAACGAGGAAATTGCTCGTCTTCGGCGGATGATCAAGCGGCCATCACAGGAGGCCAGTACGGCGGCCGTTCATCAGACAAACCATGAACGCTCGTTTAGTGACGTATCTGTCTAGTTCACATCAGATTCTTCTAAATATCTAGCCCTTTGAAGATCTTTAACTGAAATCATCTACAATCTATCTTCCTCATTCTCGTCTGCTACTCAGCCCGGTGTACTAAATTGTGTATATGTGAGAAGTACCTACTACTACTGCTACTGTAACTTATCGTACCTAACTAGTCGTCTACTGTGATTACCCCAACGTATTATTTGTAAGGTATTGAGAAGAATTATCACCAAAAATTACTGCTTAGAAGCGTTGTCCAGTCGATTTTATCTCCCCTCTCTTCCCTTAACCCCTCACGTCATAATGGTCCTGATGTCATAATAATTTCCAAAAAAATGATTTTATCATCTATATATATTCTTCACATTCCAGGGTATCTCATCGGGGTATTTATATCACGACTATTCTTTCCTATTCTTTATCATTTCGTCATCATCATCATCATCATCATCTTTATCTTCATCACCATCATCACCATCTATTTTGTTTTTGTTTACAGTTGATTGTTTGCCTTATGACAACGAAATATTCTGATAAATCCTTGTATGTATGACCTCAGCACCATTGTTTTGCTGTTTGTTGAAGCGAATACGGCTCGAGCTCCGCCCAGCTCTGCACAGACACCGCCCTCGGATTTTATGGTCATAATTCCATCACGTTTAGAAGCTTCAACCGTGAAAATTTCATATTTAATCCATCTTCCCCGATGGAAGATTTTAAAAAATTTAAAAATCTAGAAAGATTTGAAAAAATAGCTCTTCAGGATCGGTTGTAACACCGTGTTGGAAACGTCAAATGGGATTGGGTCGACCTTCCAAATGAATCAGATAGGTTTTGGGAGAATCTGAGCTTTCCCAAAATCGAAGTTGGATGAAAAATTGGAGAACTGCTGAAAGTTGATAACCGGCAAAAAGGAGAGAAAGTCAAAAAGAGGTGAAAACACCTTAAAACGTTGGTAGGGCTGCAGACGGCGACAACACGGTGGAAAAGCTCAAGTTCGGTGATGGAATTACGATTCGGTGGAAGCGCAGGACCCAGTTATGTTGTGCAATATCATACCAAAAAAAA